AGCTTAGCCTCCATATTATGGATCCGCTTTTTGATCCCTTCTTCTTCTCCCTCCTTCTTAGTTAGCTTATAAGACTCCATTAATGGGAGCTCAAAATGTACTATGTAATGGTGAGGAGAGTCCTAATGAGAAGGAGAGGGCTTGGACATTAGCCTAAAAAGTCCCGTGGTTTTCTCCCTTTCGGGTTTCCACGTAAAAACTGAGTGTTCATACATATATTTACTATATCGTGTTGGATTAAACTCAACAGTTATGTAACACATTTCAAGCAGATTTATTCATGGGGCAGTTGCGGCTATCATGGTGAGACATCTCGTTACACGTTCTACACAATCTTAACTTCTTTGATTGTATTGCCACTTCTTTACCACATTTTCAACGTCTTCTTTAAATAGAAGACCGACACCAAATGTGACACATTTTTTGTGATTGTCGACACCGGTGAAAGGTGCAAAAACCATATTGTATCTGCAAAGAAAAGTGCATTAAGCTGTTGTGTGAAGCTAGAAATTACGAGAGTACGTGTGCAAAGAAACAGAAATCGGTGTGCATGAAATATTAAATCAATGAATAACATATTATTGAAAATACATGTAAATAAAAACGTGTAAGTTAGTTGTGCAGAAAATAGTGCATACTATCACATGCCAATAAATCAAACCCAAGTTTGGAAATTAAACATCGGTTTAATAATACTATTTTAACACAAATAAACATTTAAGGTGTAGTAGATTAAACCAAAATGGAGCGTCATTAAACGAAACGAATACACAAAAACGAAGTAATTGATGCACAAGAGACTGCGTGATTACAAATAAAAATAGGTTATCATAACAATATTAAACCTTTTTTTTATACCTGTGAATACCAAATTAGTGCACGTGCATCTAATGAAAACTAATTATGCAGATATTAATACGTACAAGTGCAGAACCATGCCAATCTTTGGTTTAAACGTTTCATCACATTCAGGGATCCAATACTTAGTTAACGCACGAGATATTTGTAAAACTTCTACACGACGTGAAACATAAACGATGTAACTTATTCAAGAAAAAATGAAAAAAAAAAACGATGTAACAACAAATGAAACAAAAAACGTAGTACAAACAAAAGAAAAATAAAAAAACTGACCTTTATCCGTTAATGAAGCTTCAAAGTTCTTTCTTGGGGAGGAAGAGGAAGTCAGAACGTGGAGTGGCTCAAACGTACGTGAATTGATTTCACGTAGATGGAAATATCATCTGTAACTGAAGAGGAAGGAAATAAAAGGTTTATTTGATTGATAAAAAAATGGAAAGAAATATATAAGTAAAGGGAAGGATAGCTACGTACAAAAGGGAAGAGAAATAGCAATGACCTATTTGACCTGCGCGCACACACGTGAGTATATTAGAAAATCAGTTGATCTAGTGGCCAGGATTCGTTCTTATTTTTTTCATTAGATGATGTTCTTATTTGAACCAATCTCTCTCTCTCTCTCTCTCTATATATATATATATATATATATATATATATATATATATATAGATAGAATAGAGATCAAATACAAACCATGTTTAATTTACAAAGTACAAACTTATCTTGGTCATCCGATGAGTTGATCTAAAGGATATAAAGGCATGGTGGCATTTTTGTAATAAAACCTAACTTTTCTAGGGTGCAACTCGTTGAACGTTAATGTGCAACGCCTATTTTATGACTATATAATATGCAACGCTCACAAGGATTTGCATTTAGTGTTCATTGACTTAGAAAAGGTATATGAGGGTACCTCGAGAAGTTCTTTGGTGGGCCTTAACTAGAAAAGGCATTTCACGCAAGTATATCAGCATCATCATGGATATGTATGAGGATTGTACTACAAGTGTCCGTACTAGTGTAGGGAGGACTGCGGAGTTCCCTATTACTATCGGAGTGCACCAAGGATCGGCTCTGAGCCTTTTTTTATTTGCCATAGTCATGGATGAACTCACAAAGTAAATTCAAGATGATATACCGTGGTGCATGATGTTTGCCGACGATATTGTATTGATTGATGAGACGCAATCAGGGGTTAAAGCAAAGTTGGAAGTATGGCGACAAACATTGGAGAACAAGAGTTTCAGACTAAGTAGGAGCAAGACAGAGTACATGGAGTGCAAGTTTGGTGGAGGTAGAAGCAGTGGTAATAGCGGAATTACTTTAGATGGTAAGGAAATACCGGTCAACGATATGTTCCGTTACTTGGGCTCCATAATTCAGAATGACAGTGAGTTAGATGGAGATGTATCCCATAGAATCAGAACATGGTGGATGAAGTGGAAGAGTGCGTCGGGATTTCTATGTGATCGAGGTATGCCGACTAGACTGAAGGGTAAATTTTATAGGACAACAATTAGGCCTGCATTACTGTATGGCACGGAGTGTTGGGCGGTGAAACAATGTCACATTCAAAAGATGAGTGTGGCAGAGATGTGCATGCTGCGTTGGATGTGTGGGCATACTAGAAAGGACCGCGTGAGGAATGAGACAATCAGACAAAGGGTGGGAGTAGCACCTATTGAAGATAAGATGCGGGAGTCGCGCCTACGGTGGTTTGGTCATGTGCATAGAAGACCGAGTGATGCACCTGTCAGACGAGTTGAGATGTGTGGAGAAGAGGCAGGGAAGAGAAGGAGAGGAAGGCCCAAACAGACGTGGGTTAAGGGAGTCAGAAGTGATATGCTTCTTCTTGGATTGGATGAAGGTATGACTTTGGAGAGAGAAAAATGGAGGGCGGGTATTCGTGTGGAAAAGTGATCTTGTATCATCTTTTCCCCTCTTTTTTTCTTCTTTTTTTTTCTTTTATATTTTTATCCTTATATATAAATATTACTTTATCCTTTTTATTTTATCTTTTATATGTATATTCATCTCTTTTATATTATCTTTTTTTATTATAGCTTATCTTTTTTATCTTTATTTTCTTTCTTTTCCTTTGGCGATATCATGTATCGATTCATGTTAGCTGACCCCAATATCATTTGGGACTAAGGCTTGGATGTTGTTGTTGTTGTATAAAATATGCAACACTTTGAACCTCAATATGCAATGCAAATAACGTCAAGGTGCATCGTACAAACATTTGCACAATAAGCACAATTTGTACTTGATCTTTCCCCTATATAAGGTGAACTTTTTAAGAGCATACAACGTGTCACATAACTCTGTCATGTCATCATATATAACAATTATTTATTTATTTTATATACCTTTTATTTTATTATTACCTTCTGTTTTTATTACATGTCAATATAGAAATCCACCTTATTTGGTAACTTTGGCAATATCAAAATCGTGTACCATATATGTAGGCTATATTTTAAATTTCTAATTTCAGAATTTAGAAACACCAAACCTATGTAAAGAATTTACATATTGATGATTGTAGCTATATTACCTCAGAGAATCCAAGTTTAATGGATCCTTGGCTATTTTGTGATCGCAGGCTATGTTTCTATATTTTATGTTTCTATAAAGTTTAAATTTAGAACTTCACACAATGATGATCGTAGGCTATATTTTATGTTTATATATTCCAAATTTAGAAACATAAAAATTAGGTAGAATTGAACACTTACTATGATAAAAGCACTTACTATTATAAAAGGAAGAGAATGTAAACTAAAGTATGCACTTCTTCTCTACCACTAAGGTATTCTCTCTCACACTCTCACACAAAGGAAATGGAGAAGAAGAAGGGCACTGTTCTCTCTAGTTTTCACGCAGGCTGCTTCAACAAGGGAGAAGCAAAAGCTACTAAATAATAGGCTGGTAGACACAAGGACACTCACATGTGATGCAAAGACAAGGAGGGCAGCATAGGACAGCTCAAAGGGGTCACTCCACATAAGTCAAAATGGCCATATTATTGGTTAGGAGAGATTCAAAACAAGAGGTGCCAAAGTGGGAGTAAACATGGGGTGCAAGTCAATAATAAAGTGGAAGGGAGTTTCACTTTTCAATTTTATAAATTTAAATTTTGATCCTGTTTCTCCTATGTTTGTAGAGTTCTATTGTTTAGAGTTCATGTATCAAGAATGTCACAATAAGTTTATACAGTATTTTAATTATATATTATTAAAAACTATGAGAGTATATATATATATATATATATATATATATATATATATATATATATATATATATATGATACTTTACCATTAATATGTTTATGCGACATTATATTATGCATCATAACTGATAGATTAAAATTACATAAAATGCAAAAATTATTTCAGATCTCCACATATTCACTTATCTCATATTTTGATAGCATTTGAGAGTCCCAAGGAAATCCTTTTTATTGCACTATTAAGAGTCCCAAGGAATGTTTTTTATATAAAAAAAAAGATTGAGAAAAATTAAAAGACTTTATCTTCATCTAATCATATGCTTAAGTTCTCTAGAACACCACAAGCCTCTTAATTGGGAGCAGCTATTGCTGTGTTGAAATCTTAATCTAAGAGAAGAAAATCTGTTTTATTCGAGGCAAATCTGTTTTATTACTTTTTTCCTAACCTTAACAATTTGAAATGTCATAAGATGGCGGTCCAAGACTTCAAGTAGAGAAGAAGAAAAACCATCACTACCATTTCTAGCTTCAAAGTCTGGGTGAAAGAGTTGAGAAAATAATTGATCAAAAAATGCATTTTTTCCTCTTCTTGCTATCATTGTTCCAAATAAGTTTAACCCACAAAAAGAAAAGAAAAATAAAGTGAAAAAGAAGAATTTTTCTCTTTGGCAATGATTGTTGTACAAAAACATAACACAAGAAGAAAATAAAACAAAAAAATCAAAGCGAAATAAGTGAATTTTATTATTTTCTTTCCATTTATGAGTTGAAAATCGTAAAATTTAAAATCTATATTTTTCTAAATCTTCTTGGCAACAGTGTGTTACAACATCTTATAGCCAAAAGAGAACAAAGAAAAGGGAAGTAATTGATATTTCTGCCTTATGCCATTAAATTTTTTTTCCAGCTTTTTCAAAGAAGAGAAGAATTAGACATTATTCACTTCGGCCATAGTTGTGTGTTAAAATGTTTGCTAATGAAGAGTAAAATTAAAGGGAATGAAGTTGAGTTTTCTCGAGCTAGTTGCCAATTGCTATGACAGTTATAATACTAGTATTATGGTATTCATTCTTGTTAAAGACAAAGATGGTATTCATTCTTGTTAGTTCAGAACGAATACCAAGTTTGATTCTTCAGCCAGATTAAAGCTTCCCTAATCCCCAATAGTTCAGCTTCCAAAGGAATACATTTATCCCATAAAGGTTTAGCTCCTTCCGCTAAGAACATCACGAACTTATCTCGGACAACCCAACGTAGTCCGTAGCACACTCCACCCGTAGAAGCATTGACATTAATTTTTTCCAGGGTGCTGCCAGTAGTTTCCAGCACAGGTTGCCGAGAGGCCGTTAATTTCCTTGTTGCAGGTTCTCTGTTGCGTCTGCATCCGTCCTTCCACATAAGCTTTAGCCTTGAGCATAAGCTGAGCAGCACTTAGCCTCGCCCCCTTCCATACTCTTTTGTTTCTTTCAGTCCACAATCACCAACAAACTCACACCAAGGTCTGCAATTCTTCCATGCTCTTAGCTTGAAATACGTGTTGCAGCCATTCTAAAAACGTGTTGGTCAACTCTCCAATCAGACACCTGACAAAAAGGTGCATCACTGACTCTTCCGTTGTTGGTAAGCACCTTGCTTGACACTCCACCATAAGTCTCATTAGGTTTTCCATTGTTGGTAAGCACCCGCCACAAACCTGCCAAAACAGATATATTATATCATACTGAACAGATGCATAACTTACATTCATTTGGTGTTATGATTTATGACCTGGAAATAAAGTTGACATTAGTTGTTATGTAGAGTTGGTCTGTTACTCTGGCTTGCTCCAAGAGGGTGGAATAAAAAGTGTAAATAAAATCTAACAATTGTTGGTTAGTTTCCTCAAGCCAGTTGCCTATTGCCATGACTGTGATCTAATATAATAGCCCAAGAAGAGAATAAAAAGGTTAAAGAGAAAGATGGTATTCATTCTTGTTACTAAGATTGTACTATAAACAAAGGGACTTCTTAAAGATAAAATAATACTACCTCCGTTCTTAAATAAGTGCAACATGTTGAATTTTACACTATTCACATAATCTACTTTGACTACGTTTAATTAAATAATGTATTAATATATTTTCTTGAAAAAAATATTGTTAAATTTGTCTCATTGTAAATTTTCAAAATCTATTTTTTTTATTTTTTTACTAATAAAGAATTATATATATTAATGGTCAAAGTTGTGCCTCGACAAGTGTGAAATGTTGACTGTTGCACTTATTTAAGAACGGAAGAAGTATAATATAGAGCATAAATTACTAGCAATTATCGAAACTGCAAGGGTAATGCATACATATTCCTTTAATTTTTGGCCGATGTAAACCAGACGTAGAAAATACAAAGTTTCATTTTTTAGTAAAGCGAATATAAGAAAATTTGTAATGTGATAGGAAAATTTGTAATGTGAACAAACATGACCTGCAATAGTTTAAGTTGTAACTGTTTCTTCTTTCACTCTAAAACTTTTTATCAAATAATGAAGCCCCACCATGATAAGTTGATACCTATATATGCAATGTCCTAGTAAAGCCGTGTTTACGACACTATTTCAAGAAATTACTCAAGTGTAATTTAAAAAAAAATAGTTTGACTCCCTCTCCCTAAAATGAACAGCTACTCTATAAAAATAATGAGATGCAAGAAATACAAAATAAATGTGAATGAATATAATATGTATGTTCTGACCTGTCATGTTTGGAAATTAATTCGAAGAATTGTATTCTTGTAGCAGAAATAGCCACTGACGAATCTGACTCCACCTTCACCGAGTCTCAAGTTTAGTTCTTCAGCCAGGTCAAAGCTTCCCTAATTGCCAATAATTCAGCTTCCAAAGGAGTACATTTACCCCACCAAGGTTTAGCTCCTCCTGCTAAGAACCCTCCAAACTCGTCTTGGACAACCCAACCTAGTTCGAAGCACACTCGACCCATAGAAGCATTGAAGTTGATTTTTTCCCATCCTGATGCTGGTCGTTTCCAGCAAGGGTTGCATGAGAGACCCCTCTTTTCCTTGCTGCAGGTTGTTTGTTGCACCTGCATCCATCCTTCCACATAAGCTTTAGCCTTGAACATAAGCTGAGCAGCACTTAGCCTTGCCCCCTTCCATACTCTCTGGTTTCTTTCAGTCCACAATTCCCAGCAACCCCACACCAAGGTCTGCAACTCTTCCATTTTCTTAGCTTGAAATACTTGTTGCAGCCACTCTAAAAACGTGTTGGCCAACTCTCCAATTAGACTCCAACCCACCGATTGCCAAGCTTCTCCAGCCATCGGACACCGGACGAAAGGTGCATCACTGATTCTTCTCGCCTTCCACACAGATCACACCTTGCTTGACAGTCCACCATACGTCTCCTCAGATTTTCCATTGTCGGTAAGCACCCACGCAAACCTGCCAAAACAGAGATTTGATATCATACTTAACACATGCATCACTTATATTCATTTGGTGTTATGATTTATGAACTGAAAATACAGTTGAAATTAGTTGTTAAGTGTTGTTGGTCTGGTACCCTGGCTTGCTTTGCTCTAGGAGGGTGGAATAAAAAAGTGAAAATACAGAATCTAACGATTGTTGGTTATTGTCATGACTGTGATCTAATATTATAATAGCCCAAAAAGAGAATAAAATGGTTAAAGAAAAAGATGATATTCATTCTTGTTACTAAGATTGTATCATAAGCATAGGGACTTCTCAAAAATATATTAATATAATTTAGAGCATAAATTACTTACTATTATAGTATTATCGAAACTGAAAGGGTAATTCATAAACGTTCCCCTAATTTTTGGCCCATGTAAACCATATACGTAGAAAATACATAGTTTAATTTTTGGTAAAGCAGAATATAAGAAAATTTGTAACGTGAACCAACATGACCTGCAACAATTTAAGCTGTAATTGTTTCTTCTTTCAATTTACAACCTTTTATCAAATAATGAAGCCCCAAGATGATACCTAGAAATACAATGTCTTAGTAAAGTAGTGTTTATATGACCACCCTCATTTCATCATTTTCATTTACCCCACTGCCGCAAAGGCTCTCACCTATGGTGGGGTAAGGGGGGTCGGATGTACGCAGTCTTACCCCTGTACTAAGGCAGGGAGAGACTGTTTCAGAATGACCCATAGTGAAAATTGGGTCCATGACTGCTGCTTCATAACAAAGAAGCGCACACAGTTTAGTGAGCCATTTTGCTTTATTCCATCATATTCTCAGGCCAAAAAATAATGAATCTTTGGCTCCATTGCAAATGATGGAAAAAGTTTATATGAACACCCCATTTTAAGAAATTACTCCACTGTAATTTTATTTTCGAAAAAATAGTTTGACATATTTCCTCTCTAAAAATGATCATATTTTAAAAATGTGTATTCCAAAAAGGGGATATATTTATAATTACTGCATTATTTTGAGTAAAAGTTTACTCCAAGTTGTTGAGATAATTACTCATAACACTTGTGAACATTGATAATTTTGATATATGAAAAGCTACTCTATAAAAAAAATGAGTGGCAAGAAATATATAATATAAATGGGAATGCATAAAAGATGTATGTCCTTGCCCATGAGGACTAACTTAAATGGGGTTCTTGAAATTATAATTATATTGGCAGTAATACCAGGTTAATCCTGAAGCACATTTGAAGCAAAAGTTGCAAAAGTGTGTATGGTTCTTCTCTGCATCAATTATTTACATAATAGCCTGCCACCCCCTCTCTCTCTCTGCTACTACTGTGTGTCCTTTTCTTCCTCATTAAGTTAAGCCTCTGCATCACAACTGTCAATCTTTGATGTATAGGAGCTTCTGAACTTAGCTTGTGCCCTATCAGTCCTCTTTCCTGAAGATCCATTATAAGTTGTTCACCCTTCCCCTGATCATTATCCGAATGAACTGCATTAACAAGAACAACATATGTGGTAATGTTAGGCCAAACACCTCTTTGCTTCATCTCCTTGTACAAATCAAATGCGCAATCTAATCCGCAATTAACACAAAGGCCCGTGATTAGTACATTATAAACAACAACATCAGGCTGCACCCCGTGAACTTCCATTGCATTTTTCAAACTCAAAGCCTCAGAAACTTTAGATTCTTTGCAAAACCCATGGATTAGTGTTGTAAACGTTGCAATGGTTGGAACAAGTTGGACTCTTAGCATACAATCAAGAACAAGCATTGCTTCCTCCGTCTTCCCACGGCGCACAAGACCTCTAACAATAGCACTGTCAGCAATATCACGGGACCTGATGCCGAGAGATTCCATTTCATCCTTAAACTGGAATGCTCGTTGTACATCTCCCACCCTACACATACCACTAACCACACTGACGTACTGTCTATCAGTCGGCCTGAAACCATTTTTCAGCATTTCATGAAAGACGGCACGAGAAGTTTGGAAATCAGACATTCTTCTTAGTCCTTTAAGTATTGATTCGTAAGTATCAGCATCTGGTTGAAAACCGCCCACTAAGTTCATAATAGTCACCACATCAAATGCTTTCTGCATCTCCCCCCTCTCACTATATTTCGCGATTATCATGTTGAATGAAGCTTTATCTATTACCGCTCCTTCCATTATCATTTTGTTTACAAACTTAACCCCAACATCCAACATACGTGACTCACAAAGTGCAAAGATCAAAGCTTTTCTGGTTGACATATCTGGGGTGAGGCCGTTTCTTGAAATTGAACAGTATAATCCAAAGCACTCTGATATATTTTGCAATTTTGCATAACCGTGTAATAAGCTATTATATGTATCAATATTGGGAGATAAAAAATTGACCTTCATGATTGAGAAAAATCTATTTGCTTGATCCATTTGACCAATCATTGAGTAACCATCTATCATTGTGTTTAGCACCATAGCATCTGGTCTCAGCCCTTGCTTAATCATCTCATCAAAGAAACAAGAGGCAACCTTTGGTAAACCCATCTTAAAAAGCCCATCTATTACACTTGTATACATCAACCGGTTAGAAGGCAATGTTCCTCTTTCCAATGCTTTCGGCAATAAAATAATTGCAGAAGTTACTTTACCATTTCTACACAATCCGGCTATGATATTAGCATATGTATAGCCATCAGGTATCACATGGTTATGCACCATATCATTAAAAATTACCAATGCCATAGGGAGATATCCTAATCTACATGCCTCAGCTAACAATGTATTGTATATACTTACATCAAGGACAGAATGAGAAGATTGACATAGTCCATCAAACAACTTGACTGCCGCGGTAAAGTTTCCTCCTTTGCATAGTCCCTTTAATACCCCTTTATACGTGTAAAGGGTAGGCTGGTTTCCCAATTTGGCCATTTCATCAATCAATGATAAAAGTTTGAAGTTATCTCCTATATTTGCATAGCCGGAAATCAGAGAATCAAAACAAGCAGAACCGGGTACAAGATCAATTCTTAACATGTGACGCATGAAATCCTCTGCATCCTGTACCTTTCCGCATCTGCAAAGACAAGAAATGAGTGTATTGTATAGAGACAGGTCAGCATCATGGCCATTTTCCAGCATCACTTGGAAGAGTTTCATAGTTTGGAAGATACTGTTCTGCTTGCAGAAGTTGTAAAGTAAGTTACGGTGCATGTATTCATACGGAAAAGCTCCAATTTTGTACATTTTACACATCATCTCTTTTGCCTGCTTTATCCTTCTAGCTCTGAGAAGCCCATTTACAAGAACTGAGTATGCAATAACATCGGGGCATATGTCACTCCCAACCATTTCATTGAAAAGTTTTAGGCTTTCTTCAATCATCCCCCTTTTGCATAGCCCTTGAATTAGAATTGTGTAGGATACATGATTGAGAGGTATGTTATCCTTCCTCATCCTCTTAAATATATATCTTGCAGAATCAATCTTTCCACATCGGCAAAACCCATTCAAGATAGACCCGTAGCTCAACTCATTGGGATGTAATCCCCTTGCTTCAATTTCCTCCAGAAGTCCAGAAGCTTCTTCAAACATGCCCACCCGACAGTGCCCGTCAATCAAAGCATTGAAAGTGACAAGGTTTGGCAACATATTCAGACTCTTCATCTCGTGAAAAACCTTCATCGCCACTCCAATCTTTCCCTCTTTCATGAATCCATTGATCAGGGTGTTATACGTGATTTCATTTGGAATTACAGATCTCTTCCTCACATTTTTCAAAAGCAAATACCCTTTTGCACTCCTATCGTTCTTACATAAATCATCTATAAGCATGTTATATGTACAAATATCAGCTTCAAGACCTTTACAAGCCATACGATCAATCAGCTCATATGCTGAATTATATCTTCCCTTCTTGCAAAGCCAATTTAGCAAAGTATTGTAAGTAACTACATCAGGAATGTATCCACTCTCCTCCATCATATTAAGCAATTGATTTGCTCTCTTAAGCTTTCCAGTTGAGCACAGGACATGCAAGAGTATGTTAAATGTCTTCAGATTGGGGCATATACATTTTGCAAGCATTTCCTTGAAGAATGACCAAACGGACTCGGTAGTATCTTGGAACCTGGCAATCGCTGCAAGAATCATGTTACAAGTGTGAACCGACGGAGTTATTCCATGACAACCAATCCAATAGAATGCCTCTAAAGCATCCTTAACCATTCCTTCTCTCACATAAACCCTTATTAAAACATCATACACTGCAAAATTTGAATTCCAGAGGCAATAAGTATCCATAAGGGCACCAAGAACAGATTTTGACCCAATACCCATTTCTGATAAATACCTAAAAATTGACTTAGCAGAATCATACATCCGTGCTCTTATAAGTATGTGGGCAGTGATACAGTGCATGTGAATAATGTGGTCAATCTCTAAACCTGGTTGTTTTATAAACCATTTCAAGAATTTCAAAGTTAGCCTCCCATGAACTGGCCTTAGTGAAGCCATCTTATAACGCATCTTGTTTAATGATTCCCAGCGGTCCACAGTCAGGATTGTGTATATGCTCTTGTCAATACCTTCGTCTGCTTTGGCAAAGAACACATCCTTATTAGCTCATGTACACATGCATATCTCTGTTCACCTACTACTAGAAAGAATGAGAAACTTTACGAATTTATGAGAAAGAACAGAGATATATTTAGAGAATGTACGTACCAGCTGCTTGGTATTTTATCGATGACATCATAGTATTAGTTTTGGTGAGAGTCTCTGGGGCCTTGAAAAACCCCTCAACTGAAAAAGCTTCAATTCTTGAACTTTGTGGGGAGGAAAGGAATACTTTTTTGGTGGCCAAGGGCCCACGGCTATGGACTATGGAGCTTCTCATGTTCCTCCTTGTCGTCATTAGAGTGAGGTTAAGTCACTCCTTGAGATTACCCAATACTATAGAATTCCATACTTCTCCTAATCTTTATATATATAAAAACAGGATCGTCTGGTGCAACCTGTCTCAGCCTAGGATTACATTTGACACGTGGCAGAAACTGATTAGGTAATAAAAATGACAGCAGTAAATCTCATGTCAAGAATAACTTGCACGACGTTTGCCACAATAAAAATCAAACACGAGAAGTTATCTGATCTCTACACATGGCAACAATCTGTGTCTCTGGCGGTTTCTATGCAGTTCCAATTTAGCAGTTTCTTGGATACAACCTGCACACACACTTTTAGAAAATTCTTGCATACAAATTTAATCCCATATTCGATAAAGGAAGAAGATGATTGGGTTCCTACAGAGAATTTAAATTCAGTAAAACGAGTGATTTGCTTGGTTCAAGGTCACAATGATGGATCAAAGAAAGGCGGCTTTACATTGATCGTTTGAAAGATTAAACCAGAAGAAGTTTTCAGGTTAGAAGGAACTGGAGAGACTTCCTGCGCCAGGGTCAGTATGTACAAACTTGGTCCTTGTACGTACTTTTTTATACGGAGTATAAAACAATTTATCGTCAATTTCGAGAAAAATGGAAAGAAAACGTGTACTATTGTGACAAGGGAAATGTAAACAATGAAGGGAGATATTTGTAGTATGTCAGCCTCATTCTAACGGATAATTTGAGCTCCATTGATGAACGCATAGTAGGAGTCAAGATGAATGGTGAAACACTTCAAAGAACGGCAAAGAGACACAAAAATTGTGCATGAGAGATGGTGTAAAACATAATGGAGGGCCTGTGTTTTTTACTTAACCTTTTAAGATAATACATAGTATCTACAGTGGTTCTTTAATCACTTCTACAAATATGTCATTTCTATATTAGGTACTTATTAGATTAAATCTAAGTGTGCACAACACAATGTGTACTTCCTTATTTCATACTTTACCTTATAGGTTTGACCTAAATGTGTTGATAAACACAATATTTTGTTCATTCTTTCCCGTATCAATGCAAATGCAATGTTTATTTTAATTTGTTATGTTGTTCTACGTCATTGTTACTCACTGTTTCAGCAACAAGCCCGTGCACAAGTCTATTTCAGCAACAACTAAATCTAAAAAACAGAGCATGTTGAGTTCATAAATAATAATGAGCATCAAGCAAAAAAACAAAATAATAATGGGTCATCCGGAAACAGTCTCTCTGTGCTTTAGTGCAGGGGTAAGACTGCGTACATCCGACCCCCCCTTACCCCACCGTAGGTGGGAGCCTTTGCGGCACTGGGGTAAATGAAAATGAAAATGATGAAGCAAAAAAAACAACCAACAAAAGCTGCTAGATTCACCATTTCCGGCGCATGAGCTCCAACATCAATCAGCCCAGTGTATCCTTTGAGCAAAGCTTCCGTAATAGAACCATTTCCGAACAAAAAACTGACAGTTTAGGAGACTGCATATCTCACATCCTCAAAAATGCTCTTTCTGAATCAGGAATAAAAATAAAAGTTACAACACTTACGAGGTGTTAAAGATGATCGCCAAAACTGCCGGAGTTATACCTCACCTTCTAGCATCTCTGTCGGGAAAGCATCATACAAAATGTCAAAAACACTCAATTAAGCAATTTAGAAGGACATTATACCTCACCTTCCAGGAAAACTGTCAATTTAGCCCCGTACAATACAAAATGTCAATTAAGTCTCCGTACTTTAAAAACACTCAATTGAACTCTTGTACTTAAAAAACACTCAATTAAGCAATTTAGAAGGACATCTGCCGGTTTTCCGGTTACATTCACGTGTCGCAGTCCACGTGGCAGTCCCGCATGGCAATTTTTTCGTTTCCTTGCTATTTTTTCCTCTTATTCTTTTTCCTTTTTCTTTTCCTTTCTTTCTTTTCCTCTCGTTCTCTTCCTTCCCAGATCCCAGGTACGCCGGCCTCCTGGGACTGCACCCGCCATCGCCGGGGACTTTTAATCACCGCCGTCCTCCTCCCGCCATCTTTTACATTCTACTTGTGCTTGATGCCCTTAGGTGAAATCCTCGCAGCTCTGACGACGAGGCTCTCCTTCTCTGGAGGCTCGACGCTTCTAGAAGACTCTTCCGATCCTCTGTGTCGGAGGTAGTTTGCTTGTTGAGAAAATGGCTAAGACACCAAGATGGCTGCGGGAAGGTACACTTCCGTGCTCTGCGATGTCGCCAAGTCCAATAGAAGTCTGGAACAAGAACAATCCCGGCAATGGCGGCAACCCCCCTAAATTCCTTCAATGGCTTCACCGGTTAAGTGATGTGTAAAATATTAGTTGACTCAGCTTTGGAAGACCGGTAGGCGACGTCCACGTCAGCGCCAGGTGAACAAGCAACTGGAAAACTGGGAAGCAACCAGTTATGTAGACCTAATTGACTGATTTTGGAGACTTGGCGGGTTCAATTGAGGGTTTTCGCATAGTACGAGGGCGTCATTGATGGTTCACGCAGAGTACGAGGGCGTAATTGACAGTTTTCCCTATATATTCGTCCACAAGTAGCAACATAAATTCAGAAATAATAAAAGAATAAAGATACAGGACCAGGACTCTAAATGGCCGAAGAGTATTTGTGTTTAGTTTTCAAGTGAGGAGAAGTATATACGAGACCAGAATACCAGATAAATATTACTCGGCATTATTCATGTACTCTAAAAAATCAAATACTATGTATTATAAAAAATAGTTTTAATGAATTGAGTAAAAACATTACTCCCTCCGTCCCGAAAAGGTTCGTCAAATTGACTTTTTTTTGTCAATGACAATCAACTTTGAACAATGATATCTTTTAATAAGAAATTATTTTGAATATGAAAATTATATCAAAATTTTCCTTGATTTCTTGCTATTATCATGTTTTAATTAATACCCAATGAAGGATTAAAGAAAAATAAGTGCATCTTATAGGCCAATAGTAGAAATAGTTGATAAATAAAATACTCAAAATTTAATTTTTGGAGACGTGCATTTTGTTCTCAAATATAGGGGAAAGTGCACCTTTTTCTCTTTTTATCAAAAACAACAAATTAAACAAAATATGAACCTTTTCTTATTCTTGTCTTCTAATTTAACTACTTTTCTGGGCACCCCCTTCACTTTGTATCTATTTTCATGACTAAAGAAGGCTAAAGTGAAAGTTTTACCCACTTTACTATGTAGAGTGGCAAACATTTCCTGCTGTTAGGTTTCGCACCACACGGTTAGTTTCATGTTGGAAGTCAACAATATCATTTAGTACCATATAAAATGTGCAAACATTGCAAGATATTGCATCAACAAAGATTCGCATAGAAGCCAATAATAGGCATACTTCCTTGTCTGTTATGTTTTTAAAACATATAGCCTAAGAGAACAAAAAACTAAAATCTCTCTTGTGTATCCAATGGTGTGTTTTTAAAATTTATCCCCCAAGAACATGAGATTTAGAGGTTTAAAATGGCATTATTTTCCTGCCATTACTATGTTCTAAAATCACAACCCAAGAAGAGATAAAAACTAAACAAACATAAAAGAATATTCCTATCATTATGCTTGTATAAAAAACTTTCAGTCAGATAACAAAAGATCTTTAAAAAAGTGCACATTTTCTTCGTGCCATCATTGTATTGAAATTTCAAATTTTAACTCAAGATGAGAAGAAACACATGAAAAAAACAATAATTTATCTTGTCACTATTGCCATGTTTTAAAATCCTACCCAAAGGACTAAAGAAAAAGAAATGCATCTTAGAGAGGTGCATTATTTCTTAAATATAGGGGAAAGAACAAGAGAACTACATTAAAAATGGAATTATTTTGGTGCCATTACTATGTTGCAAAATCATATCCCAGATAGAGGTGCAAAAACTAAACAAACATAAAAAAATATTTCTACCATTGCACATTTTTAGAGAGGTGATTTTTTTCTTAAATATAGGGGAAAGTGCACCTTTTTTCTTCTTATACAAAACAACAAATTCAGCAAAAAATGCACCTTTTCTTCTTCTTGTCATCATTGTTATTATCTCAACACTAAATTGTCTTGCACATCATTTAAACAAAAAAAGTAGTTCATGAAAGCAAGTAAGCAACCTCCAGAAATTCCTTCACCTAGTAGGGACTATACCTTTACAATCCATTGCCGGTTGTTGAGGCCAGAAAAACAACACATATGTTTTGATATCAAATGCCATCCATTATTTCCAATTCAAAATAAGAAGCTCTATTTTGAACTTATCGCCCAAAGTCATAAAAAGCACGTTTTAGCAAACTTCATTAGTAACTCATTTCAATAAGCCTGTTTAGCATCATATAATTGATGTCCAAAACTATCAATCCACCGGAAGATTGAATGTATTCTATGTTAATTAGATCGCTCATCGTCCTAAATTAAGGAAGTGGAATAAAATATTATGACTAGCTACACAGTGAATTAAGTTTAAGATTTGCTTTACAATAAATTAGCTATCTTTTATTAAACTGCTTCTTAATCTTAGTTTATGGTTCAACTCTACTAAGTAAAAGTAAGAAATTATGGCTTATATATTACTAACATAAAGTTGATAGACAAATATGTGAACTCTAGAAGTTACTATGGTTATGTTCAGTTTCAGACCATATCACCATAGTGAGCATGGCATTATACTCACACCAACTTTATTTGCATTTCTATCTATATGTTTTGTTTAAGTGATATTTTAGGGGGGAAACCCCTATAAGTAAATGAATTATGTTTCATGACGTTAAGCTCGCAAAACTATGGCCCTTGAAGATTTTCTGAGCCATATTTTAGTTTTCTTACTGTGTCCTTTTTAGATCATTTCCTTATATCATTGATAATATTCCATGTTGTTCCGTTATTTCAAAAAATTCAATGAGTTATGTCTCCTGCCCACTACTCATAAAAGTTCTTGGAGAAAGTAAACAGAATAACAGATACAACGATTCATTTCGGGAACTAATATTGTTAGAAATGCTACATCTATATACTTATTCTAGCATAGATCATGTTTTCACTTACAAAAAGGGTTAGTTTCTTTATCTTTAATTGATTATACACACATACAAGAATGGGCTGTTTGTTTGATTCAGTTGCTTTTGAACCTGTGTTTAATCTTATTTAGATTCCAATTCCTATTCCTATCCGTATTATGTCATCATCATCATTATGCAAAGGCTCCCACCTACGGTGAGGTAAGGGGGGGTCGGATGTATGCAGTCGTACCCCTATACTAAAGGGCAGAGAGACTGTTTCCGAATGACCCAAGGTGAAAATCGCTTCAAAAACTGCATGGACTGACTGCTGCTTCAACAAAGAAGCGCAATCAGTTTAGTAAGCCATTTTGCTTTATTCCATCATATTCCCAAGCCAAAAAATAGTGAATTTTTGGCTCCTGTCCCTATTATGTATTTGCTTTATTTTATTAGCTCACTGATAAATTCGGAATTGTCCTAAAGAGGACTGAAAAGGAAAAGCAAGGTTGATATGAGTCCAGGAAAATTGAAAAGCCCTAGACTTCAATTGCTTTTCATGCTTCCACTCATAAAATGTCCAACCAAAAACTTAAAAGGAAAAGCATTCCCCATCTTGACTTTCTCAGTTTAGAGCCATTAGAGAACCAGAGTACTCAACAATAAAATATGGTGAATAGAAGAGGAAAACATGGTAGAGATTATATGTCCTTACAATAAACCAAGGATTAAATTTTTTTGGATTGCAATCGAATGCTCGGAAGAAACATAAGAAGGTTAAATCAGAAAGAGAAGATTGGTTTCGATGACTCTGAATATGTTAGTAGAAGTTGGAGACGTTGATAGATGGTGGGTAAATGTGAAAGCCTTGTGAACATAAGAGAGCTGACTCATGAATCATTAAATAAGAGGTGCAAGGGATAGTAAAACCTGATGGAATTTGACAGCGGTGTGAAAGGAATAGCTCGTTTTGTCAGAAGCGGGACGCAATAAGTCGGTGGTCCTCGATCAAAGCTCTCCCCTACTGCTCCTGTTCACTTCTGAAGTCTTTCTCTCTTCCATGGAAATCAGAAGGCTGAAGTGTTTGGCCTTTCCTTCTTCTCCACGCCCGCAGACCTCTCCTAAATTGGCAAGCATCCGGGTGCGAGAGAGGACTACCGATAACCTCTCCTGCTTAAAGTCGAAATTATGGATAAGCAGGTTATGTAATTTTCGAAATACTCCTCTCCAGAGTCCAGAGCCAGGTTAGTAGGAATTAAGGAGAGGAAAAGAAAGGAAGTGAAGATGATGTCAGAAACGGTTCTCATGCGAGAAGAAAACCTTGCTGCATTTAACAAGGAGAATACATAAATGCCCTTACGGTCTGTTTGGATTGAGTATTGAGGAGTGTTAGGATGTTTTTACTTGACTGTAATTTCTGGTCTGGTCTGGTCTGATCTGGTCTGGTCTGGTCTGAACTGGTCTGGTCTGGTTTGGTAAGGTCTGGTTTCTTTGTATTTTTATAACTATCCAAGTCTGGTCTGGTCTGGTCTGGTCTGAACTGGTCTGGTCTGGTTTGGTCTGGACTGGTCTTGTCTGGTCTGGTCTGGGGCAAATTACAGTCCAAGTAAAAACATCCTTAGTAATGGAAGTGTTACTAAGTGTTGATGCTAACACTTGTTTGGGAGAAAAATCCAGGGGTGTTAAGAAGTGTTAGTAATGGTTAGGAAGTGTTAATAATAACCTTCCCAACACCTCAATCGTCCATTTTTTTAACACCCCGATTTGGAGTGTTTTGAGGTGTTGGCCAATTATTACCCTTCTCATTTACCCGAAAAACATAAAATGCTTCGACATTTCACTTCGAATGTCTTTCCCACGGGTCTGATGGTTTGTTTTTTCATTTCTTCTCTTTACTCGTTTCTTTTGTCTCAAGGTAGAATTATTAACACTTCCATTATTAACACTTCATTCATTTGACTCTCTCAAACAAGATAAAATTATGTCTAACACTTACACTTCCTTTCCCTTCCGAGCCCTTACTAACACTTACTAACACTTCCATTACTAACACTTCCAAACACTCCATCCAAACAGGCCCTTAGGGTGTGATTGGGAGTTGGATTTGGAGGCGAAGGGGTGTGAGGGTCAATGACCACCCATTTTGTGTTTGGGAGTTTTTTAAAATGGATGGAAAGATTTTGGAGGTTTTCAAAAATCCCCCTAAACCCCCCAAAAGTAACTTTTCTAATTCCCCTATTCCGGAGATTTTAGGAGTCCAAAAAGTTAAAAATGAAACTTTTGGACTCCTAAATATGCGTAGTGGAGGATTGAGAGGGGTCTTAAAAATGGGTAAGAGGGTTTAGGGTCTTATTAATAGAGGCTGAATTGATTCTCAAATGATGATGTCATCTCCATGTCATTAAACCTCAAATTTTTTAAAACTCTTATAACTTTTTTATTTATAATTCAAATTTTTCAAAAAAACATATCAAAATTCATGAATTTTCATGATCTTTCATATGACACCAATATGTAATATATAAAATGAAAAAAAACTCAAGTTTTAACCATTGAAGTTTTTCTGAGTCCAAAAAAATATGAATCACAAATTTATAATTCATAAAGCATTCTCAAATAACTGAATAATTCATAATCGAATTTTACTTGAACTAAGTTCATTTTTGTTAACTGAAAAACGTTAAAAAAAACTAATGAAATTTATTTATTTTTACATTAAAATGTGTGTTTTTTATTTCATAATTATTTAGTGAAAATATTAAAAGTAAAACATTACTTATAATAATTTAGTTAATGTTTTACTAAATTGATATGTAAAAAATATATGTTAAGTGTATTTTATTGACGGTGCACGGATGCAGGAAACATAGTATCGACGGAGTCTAAACGCTGTTTTCGTATGAACGGAGTCTAAACACTGAAATCTAAAGTTTGGCCAGCTATAGTGCTATACGGAATTTTCTAATTCCAACTAGTTTACTTTTCTGTTCCACTAGCCGCAAATTAAAGCAAAATATATGGAATTTAATAATTTGCTATGGTAATAAGAGTTATTAGCCTGAGAAAGGTGAATTTGATCTAATTTAATTTTGTGGCAAGTCATCTCATACCAGCCAATCACACACAAACAATCCAAAGTGTGAGAATGTAAGACTTGTTGTTGTTAAGTTATTATTATTCCGTATTATTATTATTTCGATAATGATGGTAAAAGTTATGATAAATGTGTTTTGTTTATTTAATTATTACTTGCAAGTCTCATAAAATTATGTGCTATATAAATATAATTGCTAGTCACGAGGGTTCCTATTTCAACTATGGAGTATGGAGGACCTATGGGACTCGGATACAAATCAAGATATATATGTGATAAAGCCAGATTAGTCACGAGAGAAAACTGTTTACCTACGCAGAACTTGAATACTCAAATAAAAATATATCGGAAAAAACATCAACGATCACATATCATGAGGACAAGATCTCAATCTCATCTTGAATGAGAACACATAGATATCATAGGGAGGGTCGTTTGGATGTATTAGGGTTGGGTTTTTTTCACTTGCAATTCTTGTTTCTGTTTTTTTCCCTTGCTTTCCTCTTTTATCTTTGTTATTTGTACTTCCCTTTGAATTGTTCTTTAATAAAATTTCCTTTACTGCCAAATGAATGAATGAATGAATGAATGAATGAATGAATGAATGAATGAATGAATGAATGAATGAATGAATGAATGAATGAATGAATGAATGAATGAATGAATGAATGAATGAATGAATGAATGAATGAATGAATGAATGAATGAATGAATGAATGAATGAATGAATGAATGAATGAATGAATGAATGAATGAATGAATGAATGAATGAATGAATGAATGAATGAATGAATGAATGAATGAATGAATGAATGAATGAATGAATGAATGAATGAATGAATGAATGAATAAATAAATAAATAAATATAATTGCTAGTACTTGAAATAAAATGTGAAACTTAATACGTTGAGATAGTGTTATTCTATGATCGTTGAAGTTAATTTTCTTTTTTTGTATTTTCATTTTTCATTTCATTTTAACTTTTTGTCAAAAGTATGAGTATATACTATATAGTAAGTTAATAGATATATTACACTTCAATTATTTTAATCATTAAACAATTTTTTTTGAAAAATAATACTTTTTCGTTTGCTGATGTGAAATTGAAACGTGAGATTAAATATTGTTATTATTTTAATAAACATTATGGTGTTTTAACATAAAATATGAGTTCTTCTTCTGACTATGTTTTTTTACTTATCAGGCTTATTAGTCATTTTTCTATTAAATAAGTAAGTTTTTATTTTTGGTCGCTGAATTGTATAATTAAAAAACCAATTTTGCAATTTTCATAAAATTTTTATTTCGAATTTGATATTACTAAACGGGCTCTTTATGATTTGTATAGTAAATATTGATATGTATATAATGAGAAAGGGGTACAATGTCATTTTAATTACATTTCCTCCAAAGCCTTTCTCTTTTAACATTTGTAACTCCCTCCCCTTCCCTTCTCTCTACTCCCCTTCAAAGCCTTCCCCTTCCCTCACTCTCAAACTCCCAAACACACACTTAGACGTGAGCGGGAAACAGGTTAACTCCAGGGGTTACAAATGGGTGCTTATTAAGACTCGTGTTAATAAGCGGCGCATAAAATAAGAAATGTTTTAAAATCATGTCTACTTCAAAGGGTTAAAACACCGTTTAACATTAAAATCTCCAAAGTAACCTTACACATATATAGACACACAAACATTCATTAACATAAATATATAATATAATATGTGGGGTCACCTACTCACCTCGTACGTGTACCCATACCTCTAACCCCTACCCCACACCCGTACCCCACTCCTAACCCCTACACCCTACACCCAATTCCACACCCTTGACCCCTACCCCTACCATGACCTTACCCTACTCTCCTACAACCCACACATACCCCCTTAACCCTACTCGTAGGGGTGAGGTCGAGGTCGGGGTAGGGTCGAGGTAGGGTAAGAGGGTGGGGGTGGGGTTTGGGTCGAGTGGTTAAGGGCTAGGGGTAGGGTCGAGTAAGGGAAGGTGGTAAGGGGGTAGGGATCGGGGTATGGTCGGGGTGGGAAGGGTTGTAAGGGCTAGGCGTGGGTAGGTAGGCGGTAGGGTGGGGCCGAGGTAGGGTCTAGTGGTATGGATGGGGTGGGATCATGGTTAAGGGTAAGGGTGGGGTCGGGTCGGGTAAGGTAGGGGTGGGGCTATGGTCGCATGGGGTAGGGTGGTAAGGGCTAGGGGTGCGTAGGATGGCGGTAGGGTGGGGCCGAGGTAGGGGCTAGTGGTAGGGTTGGGTGGGGTCATGGTTGGGGTAAAGGGTGGGGGTAGGGGTGGGGTCGCGGTCGGGTAAGGTAGGGATAGGTATGTCGGGGTGGGATGGCGGTAGGGTGGGACCGATGTAGGCGTATGGGGGTGGGGTAGGGTCAAGAGTAGGGTATGGTAAGGGGTAAGGGTAGGGCTGGGGTGGGAGTGGGATGGGGGTAGGATGACAGTTAGGATGGGGTCGGGATCAGGGTGGGGCCGAGGTAGGGGCAAGTGGTAGAGGGGTGGGTTGGTGGTTAGGGGTTAAGGGTGATGGGTAGGGTCAGGGTAAGGTTAGGTTACGGGGTGGGTGGGGGTAGGATGTCGGTAGGGTGGGGTCGGGGTCGGGGTGAGACCAAGGTAGGGCACGTGGTAAGGGGTAGGGTAAAAGGGGGTGTGGGTATGGTAGAGTGGGTCGAGGTGTAACACCCCAGGCCCGCAGGACCCGAGGTAGTTACTCCAGACCTCTAGTACTGTCCTCACAAACCACCACGAGCCTTTATCGCGCACTTTGTCCTCACTCATGCGCGCCCTGAGAAACTTCCCAGAGGGTCACCCATCCCAAGACTACTCCCGTGCAAGCACGCTTAACTTTGGAGTTCTTGGGTGATGAGCTCCCTTAAAAGGAGATGCACCTCTGTTGGTATGAGTAGTACTACTAATCCATTTATATTAAATCTCAAGTGTTACACGAGGTGGGGTCGAGGTGGTATGGGGTGGTGGTAGGATGCCGGTAGGGTGGGGTCGGGTCGGGGGGTTGAGGTAGGTGTAGGGGGTTGGGGTTAGGGTAAGGTAGGGTAAAGGGGTAAGGTACGATGATGAAGGTAATGGGTTAGGATGTGGTCGGGATGGGTCGGGGGTAGTGGGGTAGTAACGGGTAGAGGGGGTGACAATAGGTTAAGATGAAACGGGGAACAGACTTGGGGTGTTTGGATCTGATTCTTAAAACTGCTTC